GACCAGAATCGAATTCAGGTCCTCCTGAGTCCAGGGCCAGTGTTATACATAAAAAGTCCGAAAGACATAGTTTCTGGGTAATTAATCATTTTATTAATTGTGGTTGGCAGATAATTAAAGGATAATTTGGCTGTCTCTCCTAAACCAAAAGACCCCTAATGGAACCCACTCCACACTTATATGCCCTAGGAAGAGCTGGTAGTCCTGAGAGTGAAAATCAACTCTTATTGGTTAATAATGAGAGAATGAGTATTATAATGACAGGTGGGCTTATTCTAATGAGGGTCTCTGGGACATTGACCACTCAGTCTTGGACAATGAAACTTATCTCTTCCCAGATCACCCCAGTCTAGGGCAATCTACATAAAAAGGGGAATCCACTTTCACTAAGACAGGCCAGAATCCACCAATTCACCTAAACTAGAATTTCTTAACCTTTTGATCAGATCTTTTCCAGGTCGGGAAGGCCGTCTGAATAGACTACAAGGGTTGATTTCTGAATGAGGAGATAGAAAGGGGAAAAACCTTGGTCCAAATCCAATAACTGGTTATTAATGTAAGAGAGAAATAATCATTTCTCTCAGCAATGCTTTATCCATTGTACCACCTAGCTGCCCCAACCTGCAGATCTTTTTAAAGACAAACTGCTTTCTAACCATACTTAACCATCTTGTATTGGTGAAGTTGACTTTCTGAACTCAAGTATGAAACTTCACATTTATCCCTATTAAATTTCATATATTAGAGTAAGCTCAGTGTTCTTGTGCGTCAAGATCTTTTGGCATCCTGACTCTATTCTCCAATGTATTAACTATTCCTGCTAGTTTTGTGTCATCTGCAAATCTGATAAGCATATCTATGTCATTGATAAGAAGATTAAACAGCACACATCCAGGAGCTGACATCAAATTATTAATGACTACAGTTTGGGTTTGGCCATTTAAATAGCACCAAATTAACCTAACTATACTAATCTTGAGCCAACAGATCTCTCTATTTTGTCCACAAGAACAGCATGAAAAGCTTTATGAAATGTTCTGGGAAACCTATGCAAATAAATATAAATATATACATACACACATATACACATACACACATATTCTCCTGATTAACCAATCTAATACAGACCCCTGATTTTATAGGTGAAGAAACTGAGATCTAGGCATTATCAGAATTCAAAATCAGATTCTCTGACTCTAGGACCATCATTCTTTCTGTTGAACCATTCTGTTTCCCATGGGATGGTAAGCCTTTAAGAATTAAAATTCTAAATACAAACAGAAACAATTACAATGAAGAAGGGCATTATCTGTGTGGATATTCAGGGAATATATCAATAAACATTTTTAAAACACAGGTATAGAAGATGGAGGCAAAGGCAATTTAAGGATAAGTTAGAAAGGAGACCTGTGATTCCACTGGTACAAGGAACTCCCGGGTGAGGAAATTCTTTCTACCAACGCAGATAAGTACCTTTTCTGCAACTTACAGTCTTTAAGCATTACCTAGAGCACAGAGAGGTTAAGTGATTTAAGGGTAAGTAATGGAGAATGAATACAATAGAACTGACAATCCCTTAAGAATAATTTCAGGAGTGCCAAAGCTCAAAATGAGTAGAGCCTACTGAAACATTCTAAGGACTGAAAAAGAAATTTTTTTAGTCTATTGAGGGGGAAAAAGGGGGATCAAAGAAGGGACAGGCCTTCTACTTGAAGTAGATGGGGCAATGATAATGATTAATGAGAAAATGAAATTGCTCAATTTATTTTGATTTTGTGTTTTCTGCCGCAGAGAATGAACTGGAAAAGAAAGAAAATGGCTAATAGGGGGTGGACACTAATGTAAATAAGGAAATAGTGGAAGAGCTCCTGGCTGCCTCTGACAAGTCCAAGTCATCACACACAGACGAACTACGGAAAGAACTTCAAGGTGTAACTGCTGAACCACTGTGGTTTCGGTTTGTTTGTCTGTCTGTTTGTTTGTGAAGGATCATGGAAATCATACTGGGAAAGAAGACTAAAGAGAAAAATGACAAAAGTTGGAGGGGCTATGGGAAAACAGGAACATTAATGCCCTCTTGGCGAACCTGTGAATTGGTCCAACCTTTCGGAAAAAGAATTTGGAACAATGCACAAGAAGTTACCAAACTCTACACACTCTTTGACTCAGATATAGCACTGCAAGGTAAATATCCACAAAAAAGATTAAAGAAAAAAAGAAAATGACCTACATGTATAAAAATATGACAGCTTTTTTATACCAGCAAAAAAACTAGAAACTTACAGGAGTGCCTACCTATGTCTAATGTCTAAACAAATTATGGTATGTGAATGTAATGGAATATTATTGTATCAACAAGAAACCCTAAAATGGACATTTCAGAGGAAACTGGGAAGAACTCTAAGAACTGATGCAGAGTGAACTGAACAGAACTAGAACAATTTATATAATGACATCATAAAAAAAAAACAACTCTGAAAGATTTTAGAACTCTGATCAATGCAATGATAAACCATGATTCCAGGGAACTGAAGATAAGCACATTCTTCATCTCCTGCTAAAATGCAAAATGAAACCTATATTTTTGGATGTGGCCACTATGGAAATTTATGTTTGACTATGCATATTTGTTATTAGGGCCTTCTATTTCATTTTTTTTTAATTGTTCAATGGGGAAAATGAGAGGGAGTGAAAATAAATGCTTGTTAATTGGCAAAAATAATAAAATTAAATTCGGAAAATAAAAAAAAAATCATGGAGAAAAGGGAACGTGCTACAGAACCACAGAAGGACAAATGTCCTGATTTTTTTTAAAACTGGAAATGAATAGAGATTGCAACCATTAGGCCAGTCAGCCTCTGAGGCTTCTCCTAGCTCTAGAACTATGATCTCTCCTAGGCTGACATCCTTTGTAGGATTCTAATCCACAGGAGCTGTTCTCAGGCAGCTGATGGTAAAAGGAATAAAGCTCTGGGCTTGGAGTCAAGAAGACCTGAGTTCAAATTCTGACTAGGACACTTACTAGGTGGGTGACCCTGGGCAAGTCATTTAACCTATTTCCTCAACTGTAAAATGGAGATGATAATAATAGCACTTTTCCTGCACTGATCAGCTTAGCACAGTGCCTGGCACACAGTAACACAATATAAACACTTACTACTTCCCTTCCTTTCTCTAAACACTTTGAGATCTGCTTTCTCCAAATCTAGGGTACATATCGAAGTCAAACTTTCCTTTCTTTTTTTTGGGGGGGGGAAATGGGGGTATCACAAAGAGAACATTTTTACGATGGAATAGTCACTTCCCTCTATGGAAAGTAAAAGTGAAAGCCCAAGTGGCCTTGAGGAACACCACACTAATGCTCAGGAAGTGAACGAGATGAATAAGAATGGGTCAGATAAATTGTTAGGATTCAGGAGAGATAAGTCTTACAGAATTAAAGAGAGGAGAGAGCAGTCAAAGGCTCTGGAAAAGTCAAAAAGGTTAAGGGTCTAAGAAGGTTATTGAAGAGAACAGTTTCAGTACATTAGTTCGAATGAGAAGTAAGAATGAAGGGTTAAGGAGACAATGGGTGGTGGAGTTGGCAGCAGCACCTGCAGATGTATGCTCCTTGGAGTTTAACAGAGAAAAGAGAGATATAAGATTATATAGAGGGGATGGTAGAGTAAATGGAAGGTTTCTTATGGAGGATGTGATCGCTTAAGAGTAGAAATATTTTTTAAAAAATGGTAATGATTAGTGAGAAAAATCAGGAAATAATGAATTTTGCAAGGAATTGGGAAGTAATGAACTAGACAAAGCACTGTTTGACTTTGGTTTTGTTGTAATGTTAATAAATCCACTATTGGGAACACTAAATAAATACATCGTTAAAACATATTATGACAACAGAAGTAAAATATTTTTCAGAAAACAACATACAGCACTTTGCCTTATCCAGAAACAAGAATTATATTCTCCTTACTCACTGATCAACTGATAAGTGATTTTAAAAATGTTCTTTGCTGTTCTTTTCTAAGAACATAATTAAAATCTATGTTCATTGAAAAGGAAACTCATGAAGACATCAAGAAATTAAAAATATTCCTCAAAATGGAACTTGGCAAAGATTTCTAATATACTTCAATCTTCCTAATAATAATGATAGCTCTTATTTATTAAGGTATATAAAGCACTTTTTAAAAACTGTCTTTTTTTTTTGCAACTCTGTCCGTCTATTTACACTGCTGCCTAGATTACTACTAGTGAAAAGAGATAAAATGGCAACCCTCTAGATAGCACCAAAAAGAAAACTTTAAAAGTAAAAAAGTCATTGTTTATCATGTATATATTAACATTAAAATGCCTGTGCTAATTTTCATCTATGTGGATGAAAATAGATTCAAGAATATTATTAAATTTATTATTAAAAATCACTAGGAATTTTAAGGTAAGTGATTCCACAGTCTGAGCCTATGGACTTGTTATCAGGGTTGCATGGGTATTACTGTGCTTGTGCCAGAGTTGTTCCATATTTACATTTACACGGGGGGGCGGGGAGGAGGGGGACGAAGCGCTATATTTACGTAGTTAAAAAGGGGTCTCTAGTCTACTCGGCCTTCACTCACAACGGATAAACTACATTTTCAACTACTTACCAAGGAGGTACTTATAATTGATAAAGGCCCCCAGCATTGGGGCTAACCTCACATTTAATCCAGGGTCACACTATCAACACACCTCTTCCACATGAGTTCCAAATTCCCTCAATCAAACTCTTCCTATTCTACATCAGATTTTAATTTGGAAGCCAGGGCCCCAGGAGCAATCTGACTGTCTCCAAACCTCAGGCAATGCCATCAAGGTGAAAAGCACACAGAGAAACATCCCTCCGGTGCGGGGCAGGATCTGGAAACACCACTGAGTGTGGCTGGGAGGAGGAGCGCAAAGAGCCCTAACCCCGGAATTGGAAGCCGGGAGTTCAAATCCCGGGCTCTAGCAACGCCCTGAAATTCACTCACCGGTCAGTTTCCTCATCTGTAAAATTACTACACTGATTGTACACTGTGCAATACGACTGTAGCCATGTACAATTTACTGCAGCTCCACGATCATCGCTAAGATCCCCACCAGGGCATCTTCGATGCCAAGCTTCCAGGGACGAAACCAACCCCTGGACTAGAAGGTCTCGTGAGTGCCCAGTCCCCTGCTCACAGCAACACCGTGGGACTGGAAAAGATGACCTGAGTGGGGTCTAGGAAAAAGAGAACTGTATAAGGTGACAAAAGAGGGGCGGCCACAGCTCCTGCAGCATTTGTACCGGCAGCCCGCAAGCGAGTTTGCCCACCTCAAGCCGGAGAAAGTTCTACCCTCTCGATGCTCCCAAAACCCTTCTCCCGCCAGTCCCCACGTTTACCGACTCGCTCACACGTGTTCCGGGTCGCAGGATATTCTCTCCTAGCCCCGCCTCCGAGCCCAGCCAATTGGAATGAAATTCGTCATCAGACCGCGCGACGCAATGCTAACGCAAGTTCCCGGGTCCCGGAGTGGGGTGGACAATAATGGAAACAGAGTTTTGGGTGTTGCTCTAGGCAACAGTGCGGGCGCGTTCTTCCTGTGCGCTGAACCTCCCGGGAATTGTGGTTCAGCTGCACTTGAGAAGCAGCCTTTTTGCTAGACCGAAGAACTACACTTCCCAGTGTGCACCGGAGCAGCTGCTTTTGAAAACTCACGCAGCCGCTGCAGATGCGACTACGGCCCGCATCCCCAGGCTGAGGTTGGGAAATAAGTTCTCCTGTGGGGGACCCGGCGGAAAGATGCCGGTGGGAACCCGGGAACTGGCTTCTTCGGGGAAAAGGACGGATCTTTATCGCTGGAAACGGTTCACCAAGAAGCCGAATCCCAAGGTGATTGCAAGAAACAGTCCTGGGGTCCCTGGAGCCCTATTCAAGGTGGAGGTTGGCACTGGGACTGGCCGTTCCCCCACCAACTCCCGCCTGGTCCTCACTCCCTGCCCCACCTTCAGCTCCAGCCCCAGCCCTGCCCCTGTGCCTGGAGCATCCCCCTCCTCCACTCCGACCACTGACCTCCTCCCCCCAGAAATCCCACCTCCTCCAGGAAGCCTTCCCCAATGCTTCTTCATTCCTGTGCCTTCCCTCTGTCAATTATCTCCCGTTTAGCTTTTATGCAGCTTGCTTTGTCTATATTTGTTTGCACCTTGTTTCCCCTATTAGACTGTAAGCTCCTTGAGGGCAGGACCTGTCTTTTGCCTAATTTTGTATCCTTAGTGCTTAGCGTGGTGCCTGGTACGTGGCAGGCGCTTAATAAATGTTTATTGAAATGAATTGAAGATGGCACCAGGGCCAATGGGGCCCCAACTGTGACAGCCCTAGAGTCAGCCACACCCAGTCTTGGAAGAGTTTCCTTCCCCCCCCCCAAAAAAACCAAGAGCTCGGGCTCGTCTCAATGTTCTTGAGTGATGTGGAAAACTTTGTTCTAAAAGATTATTCTAAAAGCTTTACTCCATTCAGAATAGCCCTTTTGAAAAATGGGCACAGAAAATGGGAGACTTGCAGTTACAAACTCCAGTTTTTTGTTCTTTTATGCATGTTTCATGGGGGTCTGATTTTAAAATTTTTTTTAATTTATTTCATAAATTTTTCCCAATTACATGTAAAAGTAGTCTGTTTTTTTTTTTTAATGAAGTATCAGAGTATTTATTTTCAAGAAAATTCTTTATCTTCCGTCTCATCTTCAGGACTTCCCTCTCCCTAATAGGAAGATCACTTCCCCATGCATTTCAGTGTTCTTTGGAGGCATTCCTAGCTCATGTAAGATTTAGAAGTGGAAGGGATTGTAGAGATAATCTAGTCCAATCTTCTCATTTTACAAATCAGATAACTGAGGTCCAGAAGTGTGAACTGACTTGTTCTTTTATTCCCAGCTGATCCTGACTTTTCAAATATTGGGAACCCAATCAAAGGAAAATTATCTTTATAATAATGCTTACTCAACTTTTGTTTAGGGTATTGACATAAAATGAATGTCTTAAACCATATCCATGAAGTACCTAAAATATGTTCAGAAATTCCCAATGGATAGTATACTTTATTAACATTTGATTCAAATATGGAACCAAGCCAACAAACTAAATAATTCTAAATCGTATTTTACATCTATTTTATCTGATTCTCCCAATATCCAGAGGAAGATGAAAAAGGTTAATATTGTCTTCATCTTAGAGCAGGAGAAACTCCAAGGCACAAAACCGCGTATTATCAAAATATTTTTAGCTCACCAGACTTTGAGCAATTATAAAAACAAGTCAAAGTAATAAGAGAGTGAAGTTTCTTAACTTTCAACTTGAAGACCCATGTAACACTTTCTCCAACATTTTTCAACTAAAGTCACAATGTATTAATACTAATCTCTTAAGACAGCTGGCCATGTGATAATACACTGGCAATAATTCTTACATATTATTAAATTACCCATCTGGACAATGCAGTGGGCATGTTAATAATATTTTAAAGAATCAAGGTAAAATACTCTTCTACTGTTTTAAAATATTTCTGCCAGTATTGGAAAGTGAATATTTAAACATGGAAAAGGAAGTATAAAAAAGGAGTCAGTTCTCACTGGAGTATAAGAATAGCCTGTCAGCTAGGCAAATAGATGCCTTTGCTTTGCATAGTATAAGATGAGGAGAATAGTAGCCTTTCTTGCCCATGTATGGCCTCACTCTGAAATACAACGGAGGCACAGAGACATTGATTAAACAGTTTGGGGAAAAGCTCCTAAGTCTCCAGAATGGGTCTCAATAGAACTCATCGCTTTGTCCTTAGAGAATAAAAAGATAACTGAAGAACATGAATACCTTATAATGTAGTTTAATTGTAATAGGATTAGCTATTTCTTTGAATGTAGTGAAAAATGATTGAGTAGTGCAGCTAAATTGCTTGGTATTTTTCAGGTGCTTTGAAGTAAAAAAACCTATCTTTCTCACATCTGTGTATCAGTAATATTGCTGGCTTAAGTAGTTTCATCTTATTCACTAACCAACCCAGCTGTATCATAAGCAAAGCAAATGCTTCTTTTTGTTAACCATTAGAGGTAATTCTACATTTCTCATAAATATGAAGGGAGTTATGTAGGAAAGGATTTGTTCTGGGTAGCGTCAGTTGTAGTTTCAGCATAATAGATGCTCAACTTTAATTACTTGATTTCTGCCTTAGTTTTCTATATTTTGCAAAAACAAAACAAAACCTCCGTTGGTTTAATTCTCTACTCTTAGTTCTCAGGAAACAAAATACAAGCACAAAGAAGTTACTTTTGTTCAGCATCTTGAAGTCCAACGTAGCAGTATTGAAGCAAGAAAATTGATCCTTCTGTTTCGTATCCCAGCAAATTTTATCCTTTAGATTTTATGTGCTATTATTTGTAACCTTTTAAGGTGGTTCTCTGGAGAGCCCAGATTTATTCTTTACTGTTGGTATAGCGTTCTACTTCCCTCAATCCAGCATTTGGGTCAGGTGTGGGGAACCCGCAGCCTCAAGGCCACACGTGGCCCTCCAGGTCCTCAAGTGCTGAATCCAAACTTCACAAAACAAGTCCCCTTAATAAAAGGATTTGTTCTGTGAAGTTTGAGTTCAGTCAGAGGGCTGCACTTGAAGACCTGGAGGGCCACAAGTAGCCTCAAGGCCACAGGTTTCCCACCCCGGGTAGCTGAATCAGAAATTGAGAGACACTAAAGATAACAAACAGACCAAATTTTAAAAGAGAATGTCATTCTAAAGTTTCCCTATAATATTTGTATGCAGTGTTGCAATCAATAAGCATTTGTTAAGTGCCCACCTACTATATGCCAGGCAACTATACTAGGTTGTGGGGGATACAAAAACCAAAATGTGATAGTTTCTACCCTCAATCCATTATTCACTGTTATAACAATAATCTTTTATTGATCTTTTTGATGATTTGGGGAAGAAAATGAAAGACCTTTTATTATACTCACTTTGGGAAGACAATTTGAAATTGTGAAGTGAATTTAAAATGAAATATCTGTATATTAATATTTTGAATATATTATTTGCAGCATGATTTTGACTCTGAGAATTTGGAGTACTGGACAAAGGTAAGGACATTTCAAAATTGGGATTGAAAAATAAATAAATAAAATAGGTTTCAAACTAGAGTTCCATTAGTGGTTCCCTGGGTTACATGTTATTCTTATTTCTTGGTGTCTACATTTGATAACTTATGTTGTCTTCTTGGTAAAGTACACTTTTTTATTATTCTCTGCCTTCTCATAAAAGTTATTAGGTTGTTGCAGTTAAGATGGTAATGTGAAAGCTCCTCTACATATACCTCAACAAATATCATTAAAGAGTACCAGACAAAACAGTGATTGAGAAAACTAAAAAGAAACAGCAGGAAACTCCTTTGTCCAGTCCAGGAATGTACAACTCAATGGACACTGGAGAAAGTTGCTCTGGGGAAGCCAATTTGAGCTCCATTAAGAGGTCTAAAACCTGCAAGTGCCATGAATGATGACACTTTGGGTAGGGTTCAGGAGGGAGGAGTCTGAGTGGGGGAATGGTGGGTGAAACCCAGTTTGAGTTCTGGTAACCTTCTTTACACTGTATATTTATCTCGTATGTACTTATTTATTTACATGTTGTCTCCCTCACTTATTTGTAAGCTCTTTTAGGGACCTTCTTAATAATTTTTCTTATTTTTGTATCCCTAGTACTTAGTGTAGGGATTAGCACACAGTGATAATAAGTGCTTGTTAGTTGGTTGAAATAAGGAGGACCTTAGTCCTGGTCTGTCAGAGCAGAGCCAGCCCCAATAGGTCATTGCACAGGGAAACAATACAGTTTTGCTCTCCTCAGAGCAAAACTAGAACTAGGCCTAGAACTGCACAGTCTCCATCTGAATAGGGCCTACCAGGTCCACTGTATAAGATGGGACAAGCTCCTGATTGGGAATGTGCGAGGAGAAGGAAACAGATGGATAATATCCACAGTGGACCACCAGGAGACTGAGACAGAAGCTAAAGACTGAGGCAAAACCTGGTGCATAGTTCAGCCACCCCATTCAGAATGGTATCAATGGTGGTATCCAGACTACAGAAGGAATAAGACCAAAAAGATACTACCTAATTCATCCAGAGTTTGAGAGGGGGCACATCCAGACCTTGGCACAAAGTCTTGATTTTGGAACTATTGTTAGAAAGAGGAATACATAGAAGATAACTCCAAACATAATGAAGAAATAGTATAGGTTAAGAGAAACCCAAGAGGTAAACCCAGAATAAGAGAACAGAAAGTATAAACAAAGCTTCAGAGAAAAAAATGGCCACAAGAACTACTAAAGTAATGGGAAGAAATGAAAAATGAAAT